TGGGCATGAGAGTGTTAGCCCTTTCATGGGGCATTTGTGAGGATTATATGCCTAGCTCAGTGTCAGGTGGGGCAAAGGTCTTGGGAATTGCACTGAGGCCCAGGCAAGCAATGACTGGACTTGGCATGAAGGGCAGAGCAGTTCTGAGTGGTGCCCATCCATGAAGTGGGTACAGCAGCCTCTACTTTGCTGGGCTGTGGACATGCTGGAGGGACAGCATGAAAAAGCGTTTAGGGCTGGGCACAGGGAATCACACCTGTAATCCCAGCACTTTGAGAGGCCGAGATGAATAGATCACTTGAAGGCAGGAGTTCGAGACCAGCCTGGCCAATGTGATGAAACCTCATCTCTATTTAAAATACAAAAAATTAGCCGGGTGTAGTGATGCACATCTGTAATCCCAGCTACTCATGAGGCTGAAGCAGGAGAATCGCTTGAATCCGGGAGGCGGAGGTGTAGTGGACTGAGATTGTGCCACTGCACTCTAGCTTGTGTGACAGAGCAAGACTCTGTACCCCTCCTCCCAAAAAAAGCATTTAGCATAGTGGCTGCTGGTGGGGTCGGAGCTGGATTATTGACATCCCTCCTCTTCTTTTTCGTCATCTTCCCTCACACCTCGGGATGGAATATGTGTCAGTGCAATTGGAATTCAATTCACACTGTGGTCAGAGACTCGCAAGAGCAGGTGGGGCAAGTCCTGAGGCTGGAACGCAGGGGGAACGCAGGGAAGTGCTAGCAGTGGATAGAAGCTGGGAGGGGTTCCAGGCAGGCAGATGGAGTGAGCAAAGGTGGAGAGGCCGGAATGATCCTGGAGACCAGGGCCCAGTGGGGAGGCTGCTGGGCAGGAAGAGGGCTCTGCCTTTGTTTGAGGGGTACATTTTTCTCACCCTCATGAGCTGACACATTTCTCCTCTTGTCCTCCAGCCTCCCACTGTGGGTCCAGGAGTCCTTTGGGAACCCAGTTGTGAAGTCCCCACAGCCCCCAGGAGTGAGATGAGAGGCTTCACTGCCCTCAGAGAAGCCATCTGAGGCAGTGGGCAGAGTGGGGGTGATGGGCTGGCACAGGCTGCGAGAGCCTCCTGATGAGGTCCTCATGCATCACTGAGCTGGGCCCATCGAGCTGGAATCCTCTGCTGGGCTGGGCGGCCCCGCGCACCAGGAGGACCATCCATCACTGGAGGGGAAAATTGCTCAGGGAGTCAGCAGGACACAGCCAGATGTGTGCCTCTGGGCTCCGTCAGAATGAACACGCCCTTTCAGGCCATTCATCAAATTTAGCCATAGCTCTTCCATTTTTCCCCCTTTTGTTTCAGTCAAGGCAACTATCTTTTAATGAAGACAAATGCAAAGCGACGAGTGTCTTGGTAAACAACAGGCTCAGAGGACAGGACTCTTCCAGGGCCACGAAAAACCTGGATGGTGCTGGGTTTGGAGAAACGTTTTAGAGAACAAAAGCCAAGTGTCGAAGCCTCCGGGGGGCTGTGCCGCCGCCGCCTGCCCTGCGGAAGCTCCACCTGCAGCCGCTAGAGCAGCAGCAACAGGACAAGATGCTGTTCCCTGCACAGGCACTGGGCACCAGGAACCTCGCCCCAGCCTACTGCGGAAGGCAAATCGTCATGCCGTTTGACAGCTGAGGAAACTGAGGCTCATAGGGGTTAAGTGAGATGCCCCGACAGCAGCTCCAGGTGGGATGTGGGCAGAGCTGTGTTTCCACCTTCAGAAGTGCTGGCAGTGGGGTTTGCTGTTTGAGAGGTCAGCCTCTAAGGGTGGCCTGGGTCAAATGTTAACTCCACCCTTACTAGGTGGGTGACCTTGAGCCTCTTGCTTAACCTCTCCATGCCTCTGGATTTCTGGGTAATGAAACTCTCCACGTCCAAGAGATGTTTGAAGATTGAATGAATGAATTGGTGCAGAAGCAGCAGTGCCTGCGAGTTGTGCTCGGGAACATTTTTTTTAAGTAGCCCCTTTAAGGTTGGCATTACGATCGCAGCCTGGGGTGCTGGACTTGTGCAGGGGCAGCCTCTGGAAGCTTGTGGTTGTGTCCTGTCTCCTGGGGAGGGCACTGGCCGCTGCTGATTGGCATGGAGGATGGCGTGCCCACACTCTGTTGGTCTCTGTGAACTGGCTGTGTCTGAGGGTGCTTTTCTTGAACCCATTGTTGCCCCAGGACCTGTGGCCTTGCTGGGTAATGCTGGCTTAAAATGTGGCTCTCATCCAGACATCTGGCTTGCACTCATCTCTCCAGTATCAATGCATGCCCAACCGGTCAATTGTTGAAGCTTCTGGAATGTTCCAAACAGTGTTAGAGGCATTGCTTCCATGTGTTAAAATACCTTCTTGCAAAAACCCTGACAGTGGCCAGGGTACCCCCCTTGGTACCCTTGATAGTGGCAGATTTAAAAAAATGCCAAGTCCGAGGAAAGGTCAGGCCCTGCCTAAGAAGAACAGAAGCAAAGGTGTCTGTGTTTTGACTCCTGGCCCAGTGGTCCATCTGTCACACCCTCGACCCTTTCAGTGTTCTTCCATTCTCTCTGCCCACCCCACAGCTGGAGAGAACACCGTCTCTCCTCCATGGGGGCCATTACGACGAAATGTCCAGCACCCACCCTCCTTTCCATTGAGCAGCAGCCATGCCATTAGGGGACGGATCTCTGACTCTAAGGGTGGGCTCTGGTTGGCCTCAACCAACCACGTGATCCCTTCCATCCTCTGCCAGTGTGGGCTTAGAATTCTAGGCAAAACCCATGCTCCTGACACTCCTCAGGGAACAAAGGTGACTTCACCTAAAAGCAAAGACCAGACCTTGCCTAAGAGGAATAGACACAACAATGTTGTGTTTTGACTCTTGGCCCAGGGGTCATGTGCCCAGTCCCCTCCGCTTCAACTGTCACACACACTCCTATTGTTTGCTTGCCTGTCAGTCTCTGCGATTGACAGGGACGGACGGGCTCAAGGGCAGCGACTGTCCTCATCCTTGGCTCCCAGCTCCACACAGACCCTGGCACAGGGCAGCAGGTGCCCGATCAACAGCCTCCTGTGGGAGGTTGAAGTGGGGGTCGATGAAGATGCGGCGGACAGGGCTATGGACCAGGAAGGGTGGGATGGGCTGGCTTGTTTGGCATCAAGCAGAGTGGGGCCAAAATTCTTCCCAATAAAAATGAGAAATAAAAATAAAACTTAAACCCCCACAAGTGACTGAACGGACCCCCTCTTGACCAAGTGGACCCCAGAGAAATCTTGAAAACTGAGTTTCTGGCCATGGCAGGATGGGAGGTCGCACGCGCTTCCTTGATAAGCTCCATTAGACTTTCTTCCCTAAGAGCTAAACAGAAGCCGGCCTTTTCAAAAGACTCCATGCTGATTTCAACCAACTGCCCCTCCCTTTTAGGGTTTTGACACAAAAACCCAGCAGCATTCTCTCTTGATAAGAGACCACCAATCACCGAGCAGTTCTAGCCAGTCTGCAGAGGATGCACAGTGAGGGTTTTCATGCCCCCTGCTTCATCTTTGACATCAGAGGGCTGAAAACTCTGCCCTCCGATCACACTAAGGCCAGCACTTTTTTGTACACAGGACCCATAAGAGGCATGAAACTCAACTGTGCATGCACATGTTTCTCCTTTCATAAATATGCATGACTCCCCCCACAGCTTATTGAATATGTATATTTGGCCACGGTGCTCAGCATACATTTCAATTCCCTTTGCCTCTTCCTCAAAGTATCAGTTTCTGGCTTCTGGCCAGAGGCCATGTTTCCCGGCCTGTCGGAATGGCCACCCTGCAGGCTGCAACGCTTTGTGAGACATAAAGCTCCCCTTTCCAAAGTAACACCACCACCACCCTGCTCTTTCCCCCACTAGCTGCATGTCCCTGGCTAGGAAATGACTTCGCTGAGTGTCTCAGCCTTGATGGACTAGGTCATCCCTGGTTGTCTGAAGATCAGAGTCCCCTGTTTATCGGGGACCCTCTGAGCGTCGGGTAGCGCACTGCACTAAGCATTCACAGGCATCATCTTACTGAACCTCCCACAAAGCAGGTACCAGCCCCATTTTACAGACAAGAAGCTGAGGTCCCGCGGGGTTCAGGTCCTCGCCACAGTAGGTGGGTGGTGGAGCTGGGACGCCACAGCCTGACCACGCCCCGGGTGGCAGTACTGGGGTGTGGGTGGAGAGCGGTAAGCTCCCGTGCCACAATCCCACAATCCCCAGAGCTGGTGAGTACACGCAGGCCCCTCCCCTCTTTGCCTCCACTGATCCAGGAGGTCTGATGGGCCCCGAGAAAGCGACTGTTTCCAAGCTCCCTCCTCCTCCCCACCCCATGATGCTGATGCAGGGGGCCAAGGAGCGCATTTACAGAAACACTGCTCAGGCAGTGCTGTTTACAAACCCCCAGCTGGGAGCTCAGGCTTAGAAGGTGAGGGATAATAACATGAATAGAATTCTACTAACAAAGGAGCAGAGCCTCTACACAGTGCCAGGCAGTGTTCTAAACACTTTCATTCATATAATTTTCACAACGATTTTCCAAGGTAGTGATTATTATTGGCCCTATTTTACAGGTGAGGAAATGAGGTACAGAAAGCTTAAATAACTTGCCCATTGCCCTACAACTGGTAACAGCTGGGTAGCCAACTTATAATAATCATCATAATAATTTTAAGATCTTTCCCCTGTATCCACCTGCGTCAGACACTCTCCTGGGGTGTGGGGAAGGGGTACCCTGGGAGCTTTTACTCAGGGAAGTAGAGATGTGTGTGGCTAGTACCAGGGAGCCAGAGAGATTCGGCTGTCCCCAAGTCTGTCCTAGAGATGGAGGGATAGGATGCTGATTTTGCCCTGAGCCCCCACCAGCTTTCTAGCTGCACATCTTGGCTGTGAGTGCCAGGAGGAGGGTTGGTGGGCAGTGCCAGCTCCAGGGTAGGTGGGTCGGGGCTCCCACTTGCCAGGTCCGGTTTCCCTTCCCAGGTCCAAGGCCCCAACAGGACGCTTGGGGGCTCCTACCTTCTTCCCCTGGGCTGCTCCCATGGCACGAGGTGGGCACCAGGCCTGGGTGGGCTGCAGGGACCAGGCTGGGGTCCTTCCTGCTGGCGTGGATCTCAGGAGCCAGGACCTGAGGGGCTCCCGGGGCCAGGGCCCCCTGTCCTCTTGCGGCTCATTCTCCCCAGCACAAAGGCAGCTTTCACAGCTGCTCCTAAGCCCAGAGCGCCTCAGACAGGCTTAGGGCGATTGATCCTGACAGAGGGGCCAGTGTCCCCAGGCGGCTTCCATGCCTTTCTTGGGTCCCTGCAGCTCCTCACCTCCCAGAACGCTGCCTCTCTCAGGAAGGGAAACTGAGGCAGCTGGGAAAGGGAGGAAGACGCGGGGCAGTCCTCTCATCACGCACCGGTAGCTCAGGTGCGGCGGGTGGCCCAGCGGGCAGGACTTGGCCTTCTTGCCTTGCTAGGCACTGCTCAGCAGACAGGGCCAGACAGTGGAGGCCGGGAGCTGGCTGCGGTGCAGAGCTCTGGGAGGGCTGCGTGGGGATGTCAGCCTCGGCTGGACAGCCCCATTAATAATAGACCTTTGAAGACTCTTGGGGTCTGGGGCTCTCCCACAACAGGAACTCTGAGAGCAGACGCCTGGGCAGCAGGCTGCCTGGGAGGGCTGGAGGCCAGCTGGTCTGTGCTCAGGCCAAGAAAATATCTGGAGGCCGGATTCCAGACCTGGGGCCAAGTTCTCAAAGCGCCCCCGGTAGTCACCCTCCTCCTCATTTGCCAGTCCCTTCCTTCTCTGTGATGCCAGCTTGTAGCAGAGGTTAAGACTGAAGAAACCTTGGGCTTGAACTGTGGCTCTGCCCCTAACAGCTGTGTGGCCTTGGGGGCACAGTGTGTGTGTGTGTGTGTGTGTTCAATAAGCACTCCCACTGCACAGGGCTAAATGAAGTAAGGTGTGTGTGTGCAGCTGAAGCCATCGTTTTGTGAAAGCGTAAATCAGAGCATGTCACTCCCTGCTTGTTTGTTTGTTTTTGAGATGGAGTCTCACTCTGTTGCCCAGGCTGGAGTGCAGTGGCACAATCTCGGCTCGCTGCAACCTCCGCCTCCCAGGTTTAAGTGATTCTCCTGCCTCAGCATCCTGAGTAGCTGGGAATACAGGTGTACGCCACCAAGCCCAGCTGATTTTTGTATTTTTAGCGGAAACGGGGTTTCACTATATTGGCCAGGCTGGTCTTGAACTCCTGACCTCGTGATCTGCCCGCCTTGGCCTCCCAAGGTGCTAGGATTACAAGTGTGAGCCGCTGTGTCTGGCCATCACTCCTGTTTTATAATGTCTCTTCACCAAAGGTAGGGTAACAGTTGCCCCCACTGCCTGGGGCTGTGAGGGTGAGCAGAGCATCTAGCGAACAATTCCTCAGAGAAGTTAGGTGCTGCTGTTAAGAACACAAATGATAAGTCCATTGTCCACTGGAAAGTCCCAGATAACCAGTTCACTAAGCACAACATCCTTTCCCCAGAGGTGGGCGGGTCAGGGAAACTTGCCACACTTTCCTTTCCTCTAGCGCGGTGCCTGGCACACACACAGATGCCTCATGGAACTGCAGCTGGTGGAGGGTCAAGAATTAGGCGTTCTGTCCAGCCTTGCCAACAGAACAAAATCCCCCAGGTCCACAAGGTCTGACAAATGGCCTTGCTAGGACCTCAGTTCCCTCTCCTCCCTCTCCCTGGCAGTTTCTGGGTCACAGCACCTTTTCCCTTCCCAGGGCCTTTGCACTTGCTGCTCTCTGCGTGGGATGTTCCCTCCCCAACTTCCCCTCTGCTCCTCATATTTCATATTTCGATATTTGCATGATTCTCTCCTTTTTAATCTTTCAGGCTCCTCAGAGAAGCTCTCTCCGACACCTTCTGCAAAGCAGTTCCCAGGCTCTCTGTTTACAACGAAATGATATGACTTCTCTGTTGACTGTCTGTCTCCTCTGCCTGGAATGGCAGTTCTACAAAGGCCAGGGCCTGGTCTGTCCTGCTCCTCAGTTTACCCCCTGGGTCTAGAACAATATTAGTGGAAGAATACATGATGGAGGATTAAATGAAGTAGTCTAAGCTGATCGAGTGCTTAGCACAGTCCCGGCTCATCACAAGTGCTCCCTGCACGGCACTTCTTAATACTGTTCTTATTGAAGTTACTGTATTTCCTCCAATACCCATGACCCTTCCAGCCAAGCAAACACGTGGCTTCTTCCTCCTGCCCCTTCCCTTGGGTTCAGCCCCTGCCTCCCTCAGCTGCTCTGCACTCCTTTTCTCCCTGTTCCAATTGTGGCCTGATTACAGTTTCGGATTTCCTGCAGAAAAGAGAGAGTCCACAAAATTGTAAAGGGAAATGACTCAATTGGCTGTCAGATGGAGCAGTAAAAATGCTCTAAGTCAATGCGGAAGATCAAACTCCTTTGGCAGCCATCCCATAATTATCCACCAGCTTGACTCTTGGTGGGGTAGGAGGAGAGAGAATGAATTTTACGCATTTATTAATTTTTTTCCATCTGCTTGGAGTCCTGCTGAAATACGGCTTAGTGCTGCGGTGAAAGGCTGGCTCATTGGCTGATGGAGCCTGTGACTGGGCTCTGAAGCCTGGCCCCTGGCAGGATCATGGCCCGAAATGCAACCTTCAGGCCTCATGGCATGGGCAGGAGGCATGGGTTGGAGGCCCAGGGCCCAGCACCATGCCCGGCACAGAGGCAGTACTTGGAATATGTGAACAGATGATTTATGGAGTGACAGCTGCTGGTGGAGGACCAAGAAGCAGGTGTTCTAGACCCAGCTTTGTCCCATCTCACTGTGGGCTGGGGACATCCTCAGCCTCTCTTTCTCCATCTGCACAATGAGAGCAAACATCTGTTCCTTCTTGACCCACAGGCTAATAGAAGGAAGTAAGGCTTACAAAGTGTGAGGGGGGCTTTGGGCTTTAAAAAGAGGAGTTCTAAATCCCTCGAACCTGGTTCCTCTGCACCCCTTCCAAAGCAATGAAGGCAAGTGTTGGGAATGCTAACTCCGAGGTTCTGTGCAATCTTCAAAAGGCTTCAGAGGCATTTAGGAGCAGGTGAAGGAGGGGAGGAGGCGAGGAGGGGAGGAGGGGG